ATGTAGTTTTTAGCTCTAATACTTTAAAGAAAGCCATAGGAAGCTATAAATATCTTAAAGGTTTTAAATCTATAACCTCCTTTTTTTAATAACATTTCACTGAAGATCATTATTTGGCCTCTAAATGTCTCACTTGCTGAATCTGCCTGCTTGTTTCCTCATGGAACATTGAATTAATTATGCCTCATCTTTCCTCTGGGCAACTTTAAGAGGATACATTGAATGTTTTACATTGATGTTTTGTCATAGAACAATTGTTTAATAACCAGAAATAGCGCGGTGATAGAACAGATTGTTTAATAACCTGAAGTACTCTCTCCCCAGCTTTTTATACTCCGGGCAATTTCACTTTCTCCTTTTCTTCATATGTGTACCATAAATACTAATCCTCTATTGAGGAAAGAGGATGAGCTGATACGATGGACCAAAAATGTGACAGGGAAGCCTAAAGCTCACAGGTCACAATTACTGGGCAAAAGCCAATAATTAGGATTTTTTTTTTTTTTTGAGACAGAGTTTCACTCTTGTTACCCAGGCTGGAGTGCAATGGCGCGATCTTGGCTCACTGCAACCTCCGCCTCCTGGGTTCAGGCAATTCTCCTGCCTCAGCCTCCTGAGTAGCTGGGATTACAGGCACGCGCCACCATGCCCAGCTAATTTTTTTTGTAGTTTTAGTAGAGACGGGGTTTCACTGTGTTGACCAGGATGGTCTCGATCTCTTGACCTCGTGATCCACCCGCCTCGGCCTCCCAAAGTGCTGGGATTACAGGCGTGAGCCACCGCGCCCGGCAATAATTAGGATTTTATAGGAGTGATTTAAACCTAATATAAATGATCCAGTGACTGATGTCATGATTAGGAAGGGTACTAGACCCAGATTCGGCAGTGATGAGTGTGCATCCCCTACTAGAACTTACCGTTTTAACTCGGCATTCTGCTGCTTCTCTGAACCTCTATCCCTTAAGCGGTAGACAGAGAGCATGAACTTGACTCATGAGGTTCCTTTCCACTGTTGTTCTCTGTGATTACAGATACCTCTTACAGTTCCTTTTAACCTGGAGAAGCAAAACTGATTGCCTACAAGCAGTCCCAGAGAAAGCATGCAGGGTAAAGAAATATGACAGCCTAGATATTATATACCAGAAACACCAAAACGCTGAGGCCTCATTTCAGCCTCAGAGCAATGGCCAAGGAGTTATGTGTCTAACTTGATAGGGCCCTGTTGCAGATGTCTATATCTTGGAGAGGGGTTTCAGAAAAAGCTCTTTTGATTCTATCTTCTTAGTGATTTCAGAGGCATTTGCAAAGAGAAAAAAAAACTAACGTCCCAAGCAAAATTACTGTTTACTATTTCATTATCTATCTTCTAATGAGAGAAAGAACCACTATAACACGTGCACACGCATATCCCCACAAATTATTTTGTTTTTACATGCCTCATGGTGTTCCTCGGCCTCTTTTTCTCCCTCTCTCCCCTCTCTGTGCATGTGTGTAAAAGTGCACTTGTTTATTTGTGTGTGTGCATTTTGTGTGTTAGATTTGCTTAGTTATTACGTACTTATTTTTATTCAGTTTGTCATCTAAATTTGTTCACGTGGTATGCAGAATAAGCTTAGATATTATTAAAGCAAAATAAAAAAGAATGATAGAAAATAAATAGATTAAAAGGAAGAAAACATTTTTTTAAGTGAGAGAGTCTCTCCCCCAGGCTGGAGTGCAGTGGAGCACTCATAGCCCACTGTAGCCTCACACTCCTGGGCTCATGTGAATCTCCTGCCTACACCTCCTAAGTAGCTAGGACTGCAGGTGTGTGTCACCATACCGGCTAATTTTTTTTTAAATGTTGTAGAGACTGGGTCCCGCTGTGTTACCCATGCTAGTCGGGAATTTTTGGCCTCAAGCGATCCTTCTTCTTGGCTTCCCAAAGCATTGGAGTTGTAGGCATAAGTCACTGCACTTAGACAAATGGGAAAAAAATTAATTCCAAAGAAAATGTGGTGGTACAGTGCAGTCAAGTTTCAAAGGTTTTAATGGATAACATTTCTTGAGAGAGACGTTTTCCAGACAGGTTTCTACTTGACGGGTGCCCAGATGATAGATGTATAGGGAACTGACTGGTAGTGGAAAATGCAAATAGCTGTTCTCAATTCCTGATTTATTTCTCATATGCCAGATACACCTATGGGAAACCTGTCCCAGGACTTGCAACTGTGAGCCTGTGTAGAAAATATTTTCCTGTTTCTTATTGTGCTGTCAAGGAAATCTGCGAGGAATTCAGTCAACAGGTTAGTATGTGGTATTCTCTCTCAGTGCTGTCACTTTTTATAAACAGTGAGAGACTCCATTTTATGAACTAGAGAGAGGGTATCAGAACAAGCTAATCCCAAAATATCCGCAGCCAAAAAAGGAATTTCTGTTTTTAGTCAACAAGATTCTCCTTTGGATGACTAACTTTGGAGGTAACAAAGCAGATATGAGTATTGAGTTATGGAAGGTCAATTAACATGCTTACCACAAAAAAAAAAAAGTTTTCTTGTCATTATAGAGAGAATAGTAGATTTAGTGACTATTGGTCTTAATCGGTATGATATTTATTGGTTTTGGTATTTTTCTCAGCTCAACAGCAATGGCTGCATCACCCAACAAGTACACGCAAGCATGCTCCAGATTAAATATACGGGCTTTGAAATGAAGCTCAGAGTAGAAGCCAGGATCAGAGAAGAGGGAACAGGTGTGAGTACTGAATGAATATGGGATATAACACAATAAACATTAATTTACTTCCCATAACAAAATAAGGGTCATTTGTAGGAAAGAAATTTTAGAACTAAAGTAACTTCTAAAAGTACTGACTCTTTATATTTTTTAGATGTGGTAGTCACTGCAAATGGGATCAGTGAAATCACAAACGTTGCATCCAAACTCATATTCGTGAAAGTGGATTCACACTTTAGACGAGGAATCCCCTTTTTTGGACAGGTAAGGTATATTTTAATTCACAGGTAAGCAAACTGTCCAGATGCACCTAAGCCCAGGGCACAGTGTTGTAGCCCACATTTGGTTAGTATTACCAGTTAATTAATATCACCAAAACCATGAAACCAAGGAGAAATATTTTCCTTTCTAAATATCACTGATGAAATGTACAGACACACACTAAACTATTATGAGAATCAGAGATTTATTTTAATATGTAGCTAATAAAGATACTTAACGTAATGTGACTTAGTTATTATATCAAATTTCTTCTTTCATCTAGTTTAGAATAAATGATATTTCTGTCATGACTCAGCCAGCATCAGAAGTTTCAGAGTTTATAACATTTATGGCTGTCTGTGTCCTTTTTTCATCTGTTATTCTCTTTAGACATAAGTAAATAAGTCTTTAATTTTAGGCATAGGTATTAAAATAGTGTGCCTTTCATGGTTATTATTATTGTATTGTTTATATGTTTAATGTATATATTTTAACAGTAACAAAACAAAATATTAATTTTATTCATATAAATAATTTTACCAGTTTTATAATTAGTAAATAAGACATTTGACCAGACATAGTGGCTCATGCTTATAATCCCAGCACTTTGGGAGGCCAGGGTGGGGGGTGGGGTGGGGAGGATCACCTGAGGCCAGGAGTTCTAGCTCAGCCCTGGCAACATAGTGAGACTTTGCCCCTACAAACAAACAAAAAAAAAATAGCAGCTGCTGGTGGTGGCATGCACCTGTAGTCCCAGCTACTTGGGAAGTTGAGGCTGGAGGATCCCTTGAGCTCAGAGCTTTGATGCTGCTGTGAGCTATGATGCTACTATTGCACTCCAGCCTGGGCAACAGAGAAAGACCTGTTAAGGAAGAAAAGAAAAGAGGGAAAGGAAAGGGAACGGGAAAAGGCAGAGAAGGAAAACAGGGAAGAAGGGAAGGGAAGAGAAGGGGAGGGGAGGGCAGGACAGGGAAGGACAGGGCAGGGCAGGGCAGGGCAGGGCAGGGGAGGGGAGGGGAGGGGAGGGGAGGGGAGGGGAG